TGGCACAAAAGAAAGATTTTGTGAACTATGCTCACCACTTAAAAAATATCCTTTTAAAAACCTACTAAACTAGCAAACGGACCAGTGAATTCAACAACAGAATTACTTATTTAGAAAACTGTCCCCAGAAATTATGCAAGCAGCTGAAGTACATTTCCTGTCTGCACCCTTACTTGTGTTGTGCATGATAAAACTTGATGAGGCTCTGCAGGAAGTCTGGTCCTTGCTTTGTTTGGCTCTCATTGGCTTTCAGAAGGTACTGGATAGGAGAGAGAGTGACAAATAGCAGGTTAGGATGTAACTCCAGTTTGTGTCAGTGTCATGTGATTGTGTTTGACTTACTTCAAAAGGGTAAATATTTGGGGGCAGAAACTGTTCCCAATTAATCAGAAATTTGAGCACTGTCCTTTTTTTTCTTTTTTTTCTAAATTTAGAGGATATGCTATTTTGTATGATTTACTCAGCAATACTTTAATATTCTGACTTGTATACATAATTTTATTTGAGAGATACTTTGCCTTACTTATTCAGCTTGTGCTGATATTTTTATCTAGAAAACTATCAAAAATAGGTTCAGCCAAGCCTAAAATACATACATACCAATCCTCTATGAAAATCTACTGAAAAACTCAGGTAGGTTTGTTCAACACTCTAAACATATAGCTCTTGGGTGAGAAGGTCTGACAAAACTTGTGAGGGGGAATCTTGCCCCCACATTGCTGAGCTAGCATGTCCAGGCCCAGCCACTCCCCTCGGAGCCACCCAGTGTCTGGGAGTCACTCAGAGCCTGGAGTGGCTCCCAGTGCATGCCACCACTGCTACTGTTGGGCCCAGAACAGCTCCTGGCATCTGCCGCCACCAAAGCTGGGCTTGAAGAGGCTCCTGGTGTCCTCTGCCATGGCAGCCAGGGTCCATTGCAGCTAATGCCAGGCTCCACTGCAACTCCAAATTGCTGCAGCAGAAGCAAAGTAAGTAAATGTGCAGGCAATGCTTTTTAATATTTTTAATATTTTATTTTTTCAGATTTTTTGCAAACCTCAGGAATACCTCAAGTTTGCTAAAAAAAAATCTGTTTCGTATCCATGTGGCCCCAATCCACAGATTTAGGTATCTGCAGACGGGGGGCATACATTGCTAATAGTGTATGAATTTGAGGAGGAGAAAAATAAAAGTTGGGTCATTGTAGGTCTAAAAAAAAATCCGATTTACATGTATAAAACCTACATTTTCCTCCATTATACTGTGGCACAGGCTACATACAGAGCACAGTTTTATAATCCATAGAGATAACAAGGTTTCTGTTTTACCCATCCTTGCAGCCAGATAAATGTGGCAAGAGTCCAGAGAATTGATGATTCACAGCCCAGTGCCAAGCACTGCGAGAGACTGCCTTTATTACAAGAAGGTAGCCCCAAGTGATAGAAGACATGTCAGAGCACCAGCCCAAAGCTGTGGTATATTGTGGCTCTGTTCTGCTGAGGGCTTTCAGCGAATAGCTTTGTATTCACTGGACCTGCCATATGTTGTTACATCTGGGCTGGAAGTTGCATCCATCTTCTGCAATGAAACAGGAAGCGCCAGCTTCTGTTTATGATAGGGTGTGGGCAAGATGTCCTCAAGTGAGCCCCCCCTGGCTGTTTCACCTCCTCTTTCTCGTATACACACCTCTGTCCCTTGCATGAAGCAAGGGCTCCTTTAAGCCCTGTTTGTCTTAGCCTGGCTGACACCATGGCAGATCCATGCTCTATTGCCTCTTCCTCAAGAAAAGTGGGGCTCTTCTCAAACACCCACCAGTTCAGTTAATATCCTGCTTGCCTGTTGCAAACAGGGAGCTGATCTTTTTGCTGATTCATATGTGGTGGCTTGGCAGGCTGTCTCAACCATTCCTTTCTAACAGTGTAAAGCAACTGGCTCTTCATGCTCTTCCACAGCCAAACAGACTTCTACTTCATCCACTCCTTGCTGAGCTTCTACTCTCCATGACAGGTAGCTATTTCAGTCACAAAGCATATAAACTGGTGTTCAGTGGAGCAGCTCTTATGGACATTAATGGTTACAGTTCTGTTTAAATCAGTAATATTTTCACCTATATGCAGTTTTGAAGAAGCCTGATGCATGTCTGTTTGGCAGGCAGGGACATAGCCAGAAAATTCTGGTTGGTGGGGCATGGGGAAATTGGGGGGGGGGGCTGGCTGTGCCTGCTGCTCCTCTCACAGCAGCAGAGGCAGCAGCTCTGGCTCCGCTGTGACCTCTAGTCCTCTAGTTCTTTTGATTAGAGAGGTTCGATTCCATGCTGCTTTTCTGTGTAAGCTGGGGGGGGGGATCTCGGACTCTCACTCTCTTTTGCATTTTGCCATTTTATTTTATTTGCATTTTTAAAAACCTATTTATGTTTCACCCCAGAAAAAAGAAACCGAGACTGAAGCTTTCCTGACTGTGCCTGGGGTCATTTTGGAACCCCCATGTGCATCTTACATTTAAACATATATTTTTTTCAATTTTTAAAGATTTTTTTCTGAATTGTTGGTCTGAGGGGGCGGTGTGGATCTGTGGGGGCAATGCCCCCAAATGCCCCCCATGACTACAGGCCTGTTGGCTAGCTAACAGTGAAATTCACAACATGCCTACAGGAAATGGGAGATGGCTCCTGTATCTGGGGAAAATTCCCATTTCCTAATGGGTGGTTGAGGGCTTTCTGCTGGATCATGGCATAGCACTCATCCATCCAGAGTCTTAACACGGTGCCAGTTACCCCCCTTTAAGAGCTCAGGCCTGCTAAGATGCACTTCAGATCCAGTTTGGTGTAGTGGTTAAGTGCGCGGACTCTAAACTGGGAGAGCCAGGTTTGATTCCCCACTCCTCCACTGGCACCTGCTGAATGACCTTGGGCAAGCTATTATTCTGATAACAGCTGTCCTTGTAAGAGAGCAGTTTCTGTCAGAGCTCTCTCAGCCCCACCTACCCCCACAGGGTGTCTGTTGTGGGGAGAGGAAGGGAAAGGAGTTTGTAAGCTGCTCTGAGACGCCTTTGGATAGTGAAGGGCGGGGTATAAATCCAATCTCCTCCTCTTCTTCTTCTTCTAAATCAAAAGCAGCCTGCGTGATCAGATCCACTGCAAATGCTTGTGGCTTCTTGCCTGTTCTCACTCTTCTGGCACTGAGGAGCGAGCCACACCAACTACTTCCATGCACTATTATTTATTTAACAGTGCAGCTATTCAAAGGGGTGACTCACTCTCTGGCTAAGCCCCAAACGATTCCACAGAACCAAGAAAGAAACCACAACAAGGAGGGCAAGCTGCCATCCGCCCAACCCTTTCATAGGCCTTTAAATTCTTCTGGAAAACCATATCCCTACCATTCACAAGAAGCCACAAAGTCAGCCCTCTTTCAATCAGACAGAACAGTTTCAGATCACATCTGCGAGATGGCTGGATTCCTCCGGGGAACCAAATTCACATTGATCTGACAACATGGCAAGCCTACTGCTTTAAGAGTCAAACTAGTCATGATGGTGCTCACAGGCCCAACCTTTGGATCCTGTCGCCATTTTAAAGGCATTTTAAAAAGCTGTGATGACATGATCCTGATCAGGCCCTTGCAGCATTTCTAATACCATTAACATGGCACTGTCATCCACGGCTCAAACCTGTGGGAGCTGTCACATCTAGTTTGGTTCAAAGAGTTGTCCTCCCCTTTCCTAAATAGCTGGTACACACAGTAGCTGCGAAGCAGCATGGCTTAGTGGTTATAGTGTCAAAACAGGGCCTGGGACAACGGGCTTCAAATCCGTGCTCTGCCATACAAGTTTGTTAGGTGACTCGCGGCCTGCCGCAATCTCTCAGACTAGCCCACCTAACAAGGTTGTTGTTTGAGGATATGTGAGAAGCCTTTTTGATTCCCAGCCAAAAGAGAGAATAAATAAAATGACGAAGCATATTAAAGAGTGTACAAGTTGGGTTTTCCTTAGATCAGATAGGGAAAGGGCTTCAGCCCCCCTCCCCAACCTGAAACAGTCCTCTGGGGATGCTATTTGGTCTCCTGGAGAACTCAGACACACCTTACTTTTGCCTTTTCAGGGAGTGTTAAAATTTTGTTAAACCTAGTTGCCTTCAGGGTTCAATTCTCTCTCTGAAGCAGTTATTCCCAACGTTAGTTTTGCAATATCCCAGTGCAGTGAGTCCCTACCCACTATTTGATCCCTGGAAGAAGCATTCAACCAATGGCCACCATCTGGCAAACAGTGATCGTTCCTAGGTGCAACCACAACCCAGAGGATGAGGACAGGTGAGTGAATAACAGAGGCTGCTTCTAGGGGCAGCTTGTTCATCAGGGTGGGTGAGAGCAGGGACAGAGAGAGACTGCCACCACCACCCTCTCTAATTTGTCTGCCCTCCCTATTCACATCCCAGCATTCCCAAAGCAAGGAGCCAGCAGGCAGGAGGAGCACCACCACCATCAGGTTTTCCCACCTCACACATCTGAAGCTGGAAAGTGCGGCGCTCTTTCTGCAGGTCTTCAACAATCTCTGCTGTCAACGGCTCGGCCTGAATGACTCCAGAGACCTTGGCTCGCTCCTTCTCCTTCTCCAGCTTGGCTCTGGGGATTTCCAAAGACAATGCAACTGGCTGACTTACACTCATGGAGAGAGCTCGTGCCCTCCTCCTCGGACATGAATGATCCTTAGCATGACACTTGCAAGCAAAGGGGTTTTGCGGACATTATCTTGTTGCAATCCTGATATACATCCTATAGAAAAGGTAAAGGTTCCCTTGCACGAAAGCCAGTCGAATCCGACTCTAGGGTTGCAGTGCTCATCTCCGTTTCAAAGCCGAAGAGCCAGCACTGTCCGAGGACGTTTCCGTGGTCATGTGGCTGGCATGACTAAACACCAAGGGTCACGGAACGCTGTTACCTTCCCACCAAAGTGGTACCTATTTATCTACTTGCAATTTCTTGCTTTCGAACTGCTAGGTTGGCAGGAGCTGGAACTAGAGACGGGAGCTCACTCCGTCATGCGGCACCTGGGTCTCGAACTGCTGAACTACTGACCTTTCACAGCCTGCAGTTCAGCGTCTTAACCACTTGAGCCACCGCACCTATACATCCTATAAGATCTTACTATTTTATCCCCCTTCTTCAAGGAGGAGAAGGCATGGCTTCATGGTAGAGCACCTGCTTTGCACACAGAAGGTCTCAGGTTTGCACGAATATTCATGAAGTAGCTTTATACTGAATTGGTCCATCAATGTCAGTCTTGTCTGCTTTGACTAGCAGCAGCACTTCAGGATGTCAGATAAGGTCTCTCACATCACCTTATGGAGATGCGGGGGACTGAACATGGGACCTTCAGAATGCAAAGCAAATGCTGGGCCACTGTGCTATGGCCTCTGTTCATATGTTCATTGTAGAGCACCTGCTTAGTATGCAGGAGGTTCCAAGCTCAGTCCCTGGCAATGCCAGGTAGGAGTAGGTGGGTAGGTGATGTAGAAGATTTCCACCCACAACCTTGAAAATCTGCCACCAGTCAGAGTAGACAAAAACTGACCCTGAGAGACCAAGGGTCTGAATTAGTAAGACATAGCTTCATGTGCTCAACATCACCACTGGGGAATATAGGAACATAAGAGTAGACCTTGCCGGACCAGACCATCTAGTCCAGCGTCCTGTCTCACACAGACGCCAACCAGTTATTCTGAAGGGGCAACAAGCAGGGCACAGAGGCCAAAGCCTTCCCCTGATGTTGACTCTTAGCACTGGTTTCAGACGCTTACTGCCTCTAAATGTGGAGGCTCCCTTTTGTCACCATGGCTGGTAGCCACTGGAACACAGGTTCAAGGAAAGACAGCACACTGCCTTGGCCACAGTGCAACACTCCCTTTCCTTTCATGTATATCATGAATCACTGTAATACCTTGCTCTTTGCATTGTGTTTGCCAGTACCAATCCCTGGGGCGAAAGCAGAAGGATCCAGGGGCAGCCAGCCCAGGCGCCAATCCTATTACCATAATAAGGTCCATTTGTAACCAATGTTCCCTCTAAGCTGAGTTAGTGTGAGCTAGCTCACAGTTTTTAGCCTCTGGCTCACACATTTTTTGTCTTAGCTCAGGAAGGATGGCTCCAGAGCAAACTAATTTATGCAGTACCCAAATCGCTCGCACACAGCTTTAATGCCAGTCGCTCACAAAGGAAAATATTTGCTCACAAGACTCCACAGCTTAGAGGGAGCATTGTTTGTAACACTTTTTTGAAATAAAATACAAAGTATTATGAGATACAGAAGACAGTATGTATGGGATGGGATCATACAACCGTGGTGGTGGGGGGGGGGAAGAATACATGTTACAAACGTAAATCCACCCCAGGGGAAAAGATGCATGGGCACACTGAGGAAGAAAGGGTGGCAGGAGTAGCTGTGATGGCATTTACAATTACATTCCCAAAACATTAAGGTCCGCTTCATTAGTCAGAGTCTAGTTCATCAACTACAGCAGTCTCATCAAGGACTAAAGCAGGCTTCCCAAGTACTTACCGTGATTTGGCGGGGGACAAAGACGTCTTTGCAGGACCATGCCGTCGCCAGGAAGGGACACCAGGCGACGCTCTGGCAATGGGGCCAGAAACTCAATGGTACCATTGAGTTTTCAGCCCTATTGCCAGAGCGTCGCCCAGTGTTATTTCCTGGTGACAGCATGGTGCGTTACAAGGAGAAATGTTCTGGCCGGGAAGCATGTGTCCCCCGCCGGATTGCGGTAAGTACTTGGCAACCCTAGACTAAAGTGATGAATGTCTGAGCATGTACTAAGAACAACTGCTGGCCAGCTGTCTAGTGAGTCAAATGCCATCAGCACCAGCACAGAAGTAGCACCCACATTCAACACATGTCACATTTTTAACTGCGCAATAGGATCAATCATTTTAGGGAGAGGGGGATCAACTCATAATAAGAACCAAACATTACAAGCTGAGAAATCATATTACAAGCCTGGGATTTTCATTATTCCTCAGCACGAGTATATCATAGTGTTCTCAACCGTTTCTTCTTCACCAAGGCTGGCCCAATGAAAACCAAACTCTCTCCTTATCTTGTTTTTCTTTCCTTCCCTTTTCTTTTTAAATGAGTGCAATAAAATGAAGGTTATGGCAGTAACAGCACTGGATGGAGCAGCAACATGTTTATAAAAGGGCAGAGTCAGTGGATGACCCAGGTTCCCTTGCTACCCATGCTTCAGGCCCCACAACAACACACCTTTGTTTGGAAAAGAGGAGAGAATTTGCTGGCTCCTGGCAGAGGCAGCGAGGGAGTTACTTACACTTTGGCCTCATAATCCTTCCAGGCCTTTTCAATCTGCTTCTTGGAATCCTGCCGAGCAAAGAGAGAGAGAAAGGAGAGTCACCAGAGGGAAAACAAGAGGGTGGGGACTGAGGGAAAAGAGATGGCAGACACCCTACTCTCAAGCCCCTTCTTCTTGCTAATGCTATACCAAGCAGAGATATTTAGATTATGGCAAGCAGACGTCCTAACTCTTAAAGCATCTCTTCAGAGTATTTGACTGGGTTGGAATTCTGGAGGCTGGAAAAGTGAACTTTGCTTTCTACTCACTTTAAATCATTTCCAGACCAGAAAGCCAGTTGGCTGTTCAACAGATGGGGCATCTGTTCACCAGGACCTCAGCCAGGAATTCTGTATTATTCCAGGACTGTGGGAAGGGGCGCTGGGGGTATACCAAAGGAGTCTCAAAAAAATTAAGAGCCCAAGAGTTTGTGTGTTACTCCAATGAGAACCAGCAAACTAGGAAACCTAAGTTTAAATCACTATTAGGGGGACGCACTCAGTATAAACTGAGCCCTCCCCCAATTGGCATTTTTCGGGTATTTTGTCAGCTGATTCAGCTATCTGAAAATGGCAACCCAAAAAAATCACAAAAATATTCAGGATTTTTTGGGACTGCTGGATAGCTGCATTTAAAGGGCATTTAAAGGGCTCTCAGTCCCTTTAAATGCCTTCCGTGTGAACTTGCAGTTTGGAGAAACGTGTTTAAAGGGACTCTGAGCTCTGTAAATTCCTTTGGACACTCACCGCAGAGTCATGCAGCTTGGAGAAGACATTTTCCCCTCCATTGGAAACAAGGCAGGATGGGGCACCTTCTTCTGGGGCCCACAAAACTGGACTCCAAGTCCAATCTTTTTGAAACTTGGGAGTTTTTTTTTTCTTTGAGGAGAGGCACCAGCAGCTATGTTGCAATTTTTGTGTCTCTAGCTCAAAAAGCAGCCCCCTCCAGAGTACCAGATACCCCCAGATCGATTCTCCATTATAGCCTATGGGGACCACAGGGTATAATGGAGATGAAAAATTTCTGCAATCCTGAATATTTACTGAATCCGAATACCATACCGGTATTAGGATCCAGGTTTTTTGGGAAATACCGTTTTTTTTCAGGTTCAATATACCCAAATCCGAAAAATACCAATTTTTCTTTTTGTATACCCCTAATCATCACACGGAGCTGCGGTGGCTCAAGTGGTTAAGACGCTGAACTGCAGGCTGTGGAAGGTCGGTAATTCAGCAGTTTGAGACCCAAGTGTGCCGCATGACGGAGTGAGCTCCCATCTCTAGTTCCAGCTCCTGCCAACCTAACAGTTTGAAAGCAAGAAATTGCAAGTAGATAAATAGGCACCACTTCAGTGGGAAGGTAACAGCGTTCCGTGTGTCTTGGTGTTTAGTCCTGCCGGCCACATGACCATGGAAATATCTTCGGACAGCGCTGGCTCTTCGGCTTTGAAACGGAGATGAGCACCGCAACCTTAGAGTCGGATTCGACTGGCTTTCAAGCAAGGGAACCTTTACCTTTAATCACCACACAGTCAAACTCACTGGGTGACCTAGGGCCAGTCACCCTCTCTCAGCCTAAGCTCCCTCACCCAGAGAATAATTGTGAAGACAAGAGGGAAGAACCTTAACAGGCAATTTACATGATTCTCACTTCCCAATGCTATCCTCACAACCAGGGCTATATTTGGGCAGGAACGCACAGGAACGGAGTTCTGGCTGGCTTCAGAGTTGGCCAAGCCCACTACAGCCAAAACCTCTGTGTGTGTGGCTACAGAGGGAAGGCCTGAAGAGCAAACCCCCCCCCAGTGACTCCGAGGTGGGCGGGCTGGGGGGGCCCTGGAAGGATTGGGGAGGCATTTAAATGTCTTCTCCAGCCTGTCCAAGGGCCAGCATACCTGGTCTCCCCACAGCCGTGGGGCGCCCAGGCAAGCCAAGGGAAGGGGGGGCTTGCCCAGGCTTCCTGCAGCCGCGGGCGCTCGAGCAAGCTAAGGAAGGCATGGGGTGTGGCCTAATATGCTAACGAGTCTCTGCTGTTGGGTGTGGTCTATTATGCTAATAAGTTCCTGCTGGGCTTTTTCTACAAAAAAAGCCCTGCTCACAACGATATGAGGTAGGCTGAGCTCAGCATGTGACTGGCCGAAGGCCACCCAGTGAGCTTGCAGAGAAAAGATTTTAACCCAGATCTCCCAAATTGTTACTGAACCATTATACTATCTGTCATTTAAGCAGCCTTCAAGGTCCTTGGAGGACAGCAGAAAGAAAAGTTGGACTGCTATTTATTTTTTAAACCCATCAAACCTCCAGTTTGACTTAAATCTGCACACCATTAATATAACTTAGCTATAAAAGCGTGTATAGCGGATTCCAGAAGAGATGTGTACAAGAAACGTGAGGACATTTGGTCTTATGCGGAGTGGGATTTGTTGAAATTTATGTTGTTTATTTTTAATATTTTAAAGCATTAAACAACTCTACATAACAAATGCAAAATCAGCATATTTTTGCAGAGTCTGCTGCCCAATTTATTTGGAATTACTTGCTCTTTTTTTGACAAATTTTACATTTTTGTCAGTGCAAAATTCATGTGCAGAAAAGAGGATTATAAGAATAACCAGTTGGTGCCAGAGGACATGGATTTGTGAAGGGCATCTATTTTCCCCTGTCTCAACTTCCTCACACTATTTCCTCTTTCCCTCCTCCTTACAACTCCCATATCATCACCCTTCTCTGCTTTCTTCTTTGCTTCCCACCCAACGGCAAACCTTTTATTTTCCCTTCCATCTTCAACTATATTATCTATTTATTTCATTTACAGCCCACCTTTCTCTACAATGGGGACACAGAGTAGCTTACATAATTTCCCTTCATTTAATCCTCAGAACAACCCTGTGAACAGAGGGGACTGGGAATGAAAAACCCTGGGAAAGGAAGGAGAGAGGAAGGGGCAGGCTGTCTAACCAATTGGCCAGCTGCCACTTTCCTCGCCTCAGACAGGTCTCAGGTGGGCCAGGCACTGCTTCCCTTGTCTTGTATGGGCAAGGCACTGCTCCCCCATCTCAGCTGGGCGCCTCCATCACCTCATGCAAGGCTCACCCAGGCGCCACCCTCTGCCTCACTTCACCTCATGTGGGGCTCACCTGGACATCACCCTCTGCCTCACCTTGTGTGGGGCTCATCTCTGCCTTACTTCACCCTCTACTTCACCTCACCTAGGGTTTAGCAGGTCCAGGCTGGACACTACCATCTGCAGGGCTCAGCCATGCCAGGAGCCTTACAGGAGCCTTACACAGGGCTTCAGCCAGGCACCACTGTCAGCCTTGCCTCATACAGGTCTCAGCCCAGGTGCTGCCAACTGCTTCATTTGCATGGTTATTGGCTGGGCTCGGTGCCAGTGTCTGCCTTGCCTTAAGCAGGCTGAGCCAGGTGCCACCACATCACCTGTTCTCATGCAGAGCTCTGACAGCCAGACTCTCTCTACCCTGCCTTATGCAGGCTGGGTGCCACCTCCCTCATTTTTGAGGGTCTTAGTTGGGTTGGGCCCAGCCCTTCCGTCAGAGGGCTAACCTGCCAACGTATGGGTGGGATGCCAGGAGGACACCAGGAGGTCACCCAGTGAGTTTCCAGGGCAGAATGCGGATTCAAGGTCCTATTCTGAAACTCTAATCACACCACCACACTGGATTTCATGGAGTAGCTGTTGTTGAATATTAGCCAGGTCTAAGTGTCATGAATGTTGTGTGGTATCACATGGTTTCTGCTGGGCCTGGTCCCAATAAGTCTTTCCTCAAAGGCCAAAACAGTCCTGGAAAGGGCTCTCCCCTCACCCTTTACTACCAGAAACCAAGCCTGTTGTGATTGATTAGCAATAGCCAAACAGGCATCCATTTCTTAAAGCTTACAGAGACTCACTTTATCATTTTGGGTTTTTAGCCACCCAAGGTATTTTTTTAAAGATATTCTGCAAACCTGGGGTGCTGTTCAGGTTTGTAGAAAGATCTGTCTTCTCTGTCCACAGGTCCAGTCTCCAGTTCTAAGTACCCTCAGATTTAGCTGGCTCAGCTAGTAGAATATGTATAAAAGATGGGAGAGGATAAATGTGCTTTTTTAATGTTGGCAACTGTTTCTGCAATCAAAAGCTTGATTTAGCTATTATCATCATTGTTCTTCCTTGATGTAGTTTCTAGTGTGTAACAGATATAGTTGTAATAAGTGGCATATGGGGAGTCTACATTATGTGATACATATATATTTGCGTTATATATATATGGAATTTATAAAAAAGTAAAATGAAAAAGAATAGACAAACACTGTTGCGCGCGCACACACACACACATAGACCCTCTATGTCTATTTTAAAAACACAGTAACTTGACAAGCTGTCAACATAGATCAAGAACCGTGACTCATCTGTGTTAGAGAATAAGCTTGATATTTGCTTTATGGACTGCATATTGCTACACACAATGGACTGTGCATACACACACACAGGCTCAGAACGCTGTACACTTTAGGTCACCTGTTGTGTTGCCACACATAGTGGGTGCCTGCACATACCTTACATGTAAATAAGGTTTCAGCTACACAGTTACCCAGCCTGGTGAAGAAGCACAAACCTCCATTATTGTGAGCAATGAAACAACAACTCTAGGAAGAGACAGCCCCCATGACAGAGCAGCTTGTAGTCACTTACTACCCATCACTTGCTTTGTTCCTGAGATGGAAGTTCCTGCCATATGGACATTTGGTTATCAATAGAATGGCCAGCTTCATCAGCACTACAATGGAGCATCCTGATGCCTAGGTTTCACACCTGTCCAGATGCCATACTCTGAGTAAGGTTTTAGGTTACAATATTGGCCACCCCTTTTAGGTAACCTACCCTTCCCACATGCAACCAATAGGATTGTTTTGGGGACGGACTAATAGGTAGGTGGGTCAAGAGGTTGGCACAGTTACCACCCATCTTTTGGAGCCCCTATAAAAAGAAAGAACCAGACACCTGGTCCCTCCTACCTGATCAGCTAGCACTC